CGGGCATTTGAATATTGTTAAACTTCTTAACTAATTCATCTAGACAAAACAAATCTGAAGCATAAGAATTTGAAAATCATTTGATCAATTCTTCATCAACATGATGGTAAGTCAACTCATCATTTATAAGAGGATATTCAGAGGTATGGATTCAATTAAGACTGGCGCTAGGATTAGATTCAAGTTTTGTTGCAATTCTACCTAAAAGCATAGCTTGGGTGCCAAAAAAATTTGACAGAGAAGATCCAATAAGAGTTGATTGTTACTCTAGCCTTTTATATTGTCATTCATTGCACCAACTTGTTCCAATTTTTTAATACATTAGTGTGCTCATCTACTTCTTTTCCTAAAATAACCCCTTTATATAGGTTTCTGAAGCTTGCAAGCTCGTCCCATTCGGTTTAGTTTGATTCTCACCATACTGTTACTTGAAGGGTATGGCTTAGGATAGTTGTTCCCATAAAGGTTTCTATAAGGATTGTTGTTGAAATTATTTCTAGCAACGAAATTGACATCAACATTGTCTTTATTTTACTCAACCATATCACAAACAGAAACATCATTGGAACTAGAACCATTACTTTTCATGGACAACATAGACATAATCATATCAATTTTCTCGTACAAGCTACCAACTTCCTCTATGGAGTTTATCTTCTTTGATGTTGGAGCTCTCTCAGTATGCCATCGGGCATAGTTTATCATCATGTTGTCCAATAGGGCTTTAGCATTTGCTTGAGTCATGTTCATAAAAGTTCCATTTGTAGCTGAATTTAAAAGATTCTTTGTCATAACATCAAGTCCAGCATAAAAGTATGAAGCATTAGCCAATCATCTAGTCCATGACTTGGGCAATTTCTAAGCATGCTTTTCATTCTTTCCCATGATTGTGCTAAGTGTTGATAGCATTTCTAAATTGTATTATCTTAGCAGGAGGATGCTACTTGTGAACTACGTTGGGATTTCCCCGAAGAGGAGATGATGATGCAGAGATAAGTATTTCCCTTAGTTAAGAACCAAGGTTATCAATCCAGTAGAAGAACCAAGCAACAACTCGTTAGCAGCACCTGCACAGAAACAACAAATCCTTGCAACCCAACGGGGTTGTCAATACCTTGACAGTAACGAGCAAGATTAAATTGTATGGTATTTGATAGATAGATCGAAAAAATACAAAATAAAATAAATAAAAGAAAAACGCGACAAGGTATTTTTGATTTTAATATATAATAAAAGATAGACCCATGGGCAATAGTTTTCACTAGAGGCTTCTCTCTTGAAAATAGCAATGCAGTGGGTAGACAAATTACTGTTGGGCAATTGAAAGAAAATCAAAAAATTATGGCATCACGTCCGAGACAAGTAGACCAAAACAATTCTGCATCTACTACTATTACTCCACATATCGACTACTATCCAGCATGCATCTAGTGTATTAAGTTCATGAAAAAATGGAGTAACGCCTTAAGCAAGATGACATGATGTAGACAAGATAAACTTAAGTATGAATAAACCCCATCCTTTTACCCTTAATAGAAACGATACATACGTGTCATGTCCCTTCTGTCACTGGGATTGAACACCATAAGATCGAACCCATTACAAAACACCTCTCTCATTGCAAGAAAAATCAATCTTGCTAGCCAAACCAAATCAATAGATCGGAGAGAAATACGAAGCTATAGTAATCATGCATAAAAGAGTTTAGAAATAACTCAAATAATATTCATGGATAGATCTGATCATAAACTGACAATTCATCATATCCCAACAAACACACCACAAAAAGTCATTACATTGAATAGATGTCCAAAGAGAGAGAAGAAGTCATCTAGCTACTAACTATGGACCCGTAGGTCTGTGGTAAACTACTCGAGCATCATCAAAAGGGCAGCAAGGTTGATATAGAGCCCCTCTATGATCGATTCCCTCTTCGACAGAGTACCGGAGAAGGCCTCCAGATGGGATCTCGTGGTTCTGGAACTTTCGGCGGCGGAAAAAGTATTTCGGTGTCTCTCTGATGTCAGGGGAATATTTGGGTATTTATAGAGGTGGATTTAGGGTTGGATGTGCCACGAGGGGCACACCAGCCTAGGGGCGCGCCCCTAGGGCTTGTCGCTCCCTCATGGCTCTTTTGGCCTTCTCCTGAACCTTCTAGGGTCTCTTCTGGTCCATTGTAGCGCCCAAGATGCGATTCTATCCCAATCACGTGATGAATTCATGATCGGGGCACAATCGCATTTTGAGCGCGTGGCAAGGTGGATATCATTACAACATACCGTGTACTGAATAGATGATAATACAAGATAAAGGCTTACACTCGCCACAAGTTACAACATTCATGCAACAATACATAGCAACCATCATACAGAAGAGCAGGATCCGACTACGGATGGAATCAAACGAAAAATAAGAACGACATCCACCCTGCTAATCCCAGGCTCCCAACCCGGAACCTATCCCTTGATCGAAGAAGAAGCGGAAGAAGAACTCCAAACAATCAAGCATCACACTCGCATCAGATCATCGCATTACATGTACCTGCAACTATTGTTGTAGTAATCTATGAGCCACGAGGACTCGGTAATCCCATTACCATGGGTATCAAGACTAGCAAAGCTTAATGGGTATGGAATGGATAAGTGGTGAGGTTGCAACAAACACTAAGCATTGTATGGTGGCTAACTTACGAGTACAAGAGTAAGATGATAAACTACGCAACGGTCGCAAACTAGTAATGATCAAGAAGTGATCCTGAACTACTTACGTTCAAACATAAACCAACCGTGTTCTCTTCTCGAACGCACCCGAAAAGTGACAGTCACGATTACGCACGCGGTTGGTGTATTTTAATTGAGTTTAGTTCAAGTCCACTACAACAGGATATTAACAAATTCCCATCTGCCACATAACCACGGGCATGACTCTCGGAAGTTTAAACCTTGCAGGGGTGTCCCAACTTAGCCCATGACAAGCTCACGATCCGCGGAGACAATCCTCCATCGCGGGACCCTCCGATCAGACTCGGAATCCCGGTTGTAGGATCGAAAGTATGTCTAGAGGGGGGGTGATTAGACTACTTGACCAAATAAAAACTTAACCTTTTCCCGATTTTAGTTCTTGGCAGATTTTAGCTATTTTAGGACAAGTCAAGCAATCATCACACAATTCAAGCAAGCATGCAAAGAGTATATTGGCAGCGGAAAGTAAAGCATGCAACTTGCAAGAATGTAAAGGGAAGGGTTTGGATAATTCAAACGCAATTGGAGACACGGATGTTTTTCCCGTGGTTCGGATAGGTGGTGCTATCCTACATCCACGTTGATGGAGACTTCAACCCACGAAGGGTAACGGTTGCGCGAGTCCACACAGGGCTCCACCCAAGGGCAACGGTTGCGCGAGTCCACACAGGGCTCCACCCACGAAGGGTCCACGAAGAAGCAACCACCCACAAAGGGTCCACGAAGAAGCAACCTTGTCTATCCCACCATGGCCATCGCCCACGAAGGACTTGCCTCACTAGCGGTAGATCTTCACGAAGTAGGCGATCTCCTTGCCCTTACAAACTCCTTGGTTCAACTCCACAATCTTGTCGGAGGCTCCCAAGTGACACCTAGCCAATCTAGGAGACACCAGTCTCCAAGAAGTAACAAATGGTGTGTAGGTAATGAACTCCTTGCTCTTGTGCTTCAAATGATAGTCTCCTCAACACTCAACTCTCTCTCATAGGATTTGGATTTGATGGAAAGAAGATTTGAGTGGAAAGCAACTTTGGAAGGCTAGAGATCAAGATTCATATGGTAGGAATGGAATATCTTGGTCTCAACACACGAGTAGGTGGTTCTCTCTCAGAACATATGAGTTGGAATGGTGTGTGTGTTCTGATGGCTCTCTCACTGAATGAGAAAGAGGTGGAGGGGTATATATAGCCTCCACACAAAATCCAACCGTTACACACAATTTACCAATCTCGGTGGGACCGAATCAGAAAACTCGGTCTGACCGAAATA